ACAGCATGGAGGCCGCCCCCGCTGCGCCCTTCCGGCCCTCGGTGAGTGAAGGTGCCTGCCAGATAGGGCTCAGCTGGGTCCCCTCCCCTCTAGTCCCAGCTGGAGCCCTAGGATTTTGAGAAAGGTCAGTAACAGGGACAGGGTGGGGGGGGGAGAGAGAGAGAGAGAGAGAGAGAGAGAGAGAGAGAGAGAGACTGAAAGACTGAGACTGACTCTGACTGACTCTCCCCACCTCTTTGGTTTCCCCTTCTTGGCTCTGCCCCCCTGCTTCTCAGACCAGCCCTCCCACCTTCTCCAAGCTGGTGTGTGTGTATGTGTGTGTTTGTGTATGCGCTGGCACCCGTGGGAGCAAAGGAAGACAAACTGATAGCAGGGCTTTTATCCTCCTTTCCTCGCCTCTAGAGACTTGCCTTTTCCCTGCTCCCACCTTCAGCCAGGGTCTCTACCAGCTGAGGGGTGAGTAGGTAGAACTGACCCTGCCCCAACCCATGCCTGTCCCCATTTCCTGCCCACCAGCAAGGCTTCCTGAGCCGGAGGCTAAAAAGCTCCATCAAACGCACGAAGTCACAACCCAAACTTGACCGGACCAGCAGCTTTCGCCAGATCCTGCCTCGCTTCCGAAGTGCTGACCATGACCGGTACAGGGCTGGAGTGGGAGGGATGAGCTGGATGTGATGTAGGGAATATAGGGGGCTCTACATTGAGGTTGGAGGAATGGGAATTATCTGAGTACAGTGGTCGAAGGCCTCAGATTGGCTGTGAGATGTTATGGGGTAAGGGATAGGGAGAGGACAAGCAGAGAGACAGGAAAAGAGACGAAGGTGAAGCCAAAGAGGGACTTTTCTGGCCAATGGAAGTATGGGCTCCAGCCCAGAATTGAAGTAGCTGTGCAGAGAGACAGAGAAGGAGTAGAGGAGCCATTAAGGAATCCAGGGAAGGGAACGGTAGTTGGTAGGAGAAGAGTAGTATGATCTAGGTAAAAGGGTATGAGGGAACCCACAAGGTTGGAGTGGGGTTGGGGCTGGCAGATACTAATGGATGAGGGAAGGGATGGAGGAGAACATGACAGAAGGGGGAAGCTGACACATGTGTACAGGCTGACAGGTTGGGGAGGGGATGCTATAGGGTTAATCCAGGGACTAAAGCGTGAAGAAGAAATCCTCAGAGAAATACAGAGAGCACTGTCTTTGAGACTGGGGTTGAGGGACATCTGATGTCTGCTTCTATTGTCTGCTTCTTGGGGTCCCTCTCTGGGTTTCCCCCTCACCCAAATACTCCTCAGGGAGAACCTTGTCCTTCCTTTCCCCATGTCTGGCCACCCCCGGGATTGGGCAGATAGGGAGGTTGGGATAGGTGAGTCACACCTTCCCCTGCCCCCCTCCCATGTCACCAGAGCTAGATTTGGGGCTGGAGGGGGGGGTAAGGGCATGGTATTCCTGGCCGCGGGGGCGGGGGGCCGGGGGAGCGTCGCGCTGACGGCAATGGAGCCCGAGATGATGACGGGGCTGCTATAAATAGCTTCATGGAGGCTCCCACACTCGAGCTCCCCCTCCCGCTTTCCTACTGCTCTCTCTACTCTTCATCCCCTAGCCATCTCCATGCTGCTCACTATCCTGTTCCTTAGTGTTCTGTGCCCCCATCCTCCAGTTCCCTCAGCCCCTTTTATCTTCTGCTCTCCCACAGTGATCTTCCTATTTTCTTCCCTTGTCCCCCATCTTTATTTCCACGACCCTCTCCAGTTATCCTTCCTTATCGTCTCCCATCCAGTCTTTCTGCACACACCTTTGCCTCCCCTTTTCTCCTTCTTGCCCTAGCTCTTCTTCCCAAGTCCCCATTTTCAGTCTCTTCGTTAACACTTTTCTGCCCATAGCTTTCTCCTATTTCTTGTGATTCCCCTACACACCCTCAGTTTCCTTGGGCCGATATGACAAGTTACCCCAAACCCTGGTTCTGCTAAAACTTACCTCATTCATTCATTTTTTGAATTATTATATATGCCTTACTGTTAAAATGTATATTTGAAACTTACTGGATTTCGTTAACCAGTGTCACCATAAAAAATAAATTAATTAATTTAAAAAACAAAGCATTTTTTGAATTATTAAATGTTTTATAAGCATTAGCTGTTTGGCAGCCCCAGACAAACATCTTTCCACTTCTGGCTCTTTAGTTTTACTTTTTCTTCCTTATAGTGGGCACTGGGTTTGGGGGTCACATAGAAGTCCCATCTAGAAGTGTCCCAAACCTGCCTGCTCTCTTTTTTTTTTCTGCGCCATGATCCATTCTGGGTTGAGATAACCAGGTGTCCCCAGTCCTCACAACCTCTTAGGTGTGAACTGAGGGGGAAAGGGTATCTTAAAGAGTTCTGTTTTCTTTCATATCCCTCATGTCATTCCCCAGGGATAGACTGGTTTCTTTCCATCTGTGTCTATGTCTGTGTGGGAAGGGGGTTCAGAAGGCCCTTTCCCCAAGTATCCATCCAGAGCGTTGATACAAGCCCTAGTGTGTAAGACGAGTGGGGACCCTGATCCTCTATCCTGAACCTCCTGCCCACCAGGGCCCGGCTGATGCAGAGCTTTAAGGAGTCGCACTCTCACGAGTCCTTGCTGAGTCCTAGCAGTGCGGCTGAGGCCTTGGAGCTCAACTTGGATGAAGACTCCATTATCAAGCCAGTGCACAGCTCCATCCTGGGCCAGGAGTTCTGTTTTGAGGTACTGGGTCTTGTATGCTGGGGAGGGCCACCGGGCAGGGGCCTCAGGGAAGTGGCACAGGTAGGGATGTCAAAGAAACTGAAACCTCGGGAGCTAGGAGAAAGGAGGATAGGCCAGGGAGGAAGAGATGGTGGTGGAGTCTCCAGTCTTTAGGAGTCACTTCTCCTTTGCATTCCATCTCAACTCCATACCCCTCTCTAGGTAACAACTTCATCAGGAACAAAATGTTTTGCCTGTCGTTCTGCGGCTGAAAGGGACAAATGGATCGAGAATCTACAGCGGGCAGTAAAACCCAACAAGGTATCAGGAATGTGGGCAAGGCCATGGGGAAGCTGGGAGCCTAGCGGGGAAGGCAAGCTAAAGGAGTTGAGGCTTGGGAGGTAGGAGGGGACCAAGGTGGAGGGAACAGGGATGAGTAGGAGGTGACCCCCATTTTTCTCTGAGTCCCCCATTTCTGTTCCCTTTCTACCTCATGATCTGTTTCCCTACCATAGAAATCATAGACTCATATTGCTGATGGGGCTCTGCAAGTTCTCTGGTTCATCCTCCCTGCAGGTTGAATGTCCCACTGATATCCTCACAGGTGGTCACTCTGCTCCTGCTTACAGTGTTCCTGTAGGACACATACAGCTGTCAGTTAACCAAATCTCTAGATCTTGGTTTCCCCTCTGAAAAACCGGTGCGAGTGGGGTTGGACTACGTGATCTCTAAGGTCCCTTTGGCTCAGAAATTCTATGAGTCTGTTTTTCCCAAGACTTATTTCTCAGGAGAAATGCTCCCAGTTCCATCAGCTATTCTCTGTATCTCATTTTCCAGTGAGCTCACAGTCCTGATGGCTCTCTTCTAGGGGAACCCTTGTTTCTCAGTGTCCTTAAAGAACTAGACTCAAGATACTGGATGCGATCTAACCCATGCAGTCCAAACCATGCTGCTTTCATGGTGCAACATCACCTCACCCTCACCACAGCTAGTGGTCAGTTGTATCCCCCTGACTCCCTTTCACACTAATGGTATAGCCTCACCCATTTACACCCTGTAGTTATGCAGTTCTTTTTTTAAAATTAACTTCTCACTGTCTTCGAAAGACTTCCCAGTTCTCCCCTTCAAATTCCACCTTAATATTTTTGGTTTACTATTCCAGCTTTTAAAATCTTTCCCAATGCTGATTCCATTGTCTGATGTGTGAACTATCCTTCTGTATTAGTTTCTTAGGGCTGCTATAACCACTTACCACAAACTGGGCCACTTAAAACAACATAACTTTATTCTCTCAGTTCAGGAGACTAAAAATCCAAAATCAAGGTGTTGGCAGGGCCTTGCTCCCTCTGAAGCTCTAGGAAGAACTGTTCTTTGCCTCTTCAGAGCTTCTGGTGGTTGCTGGTGGTCTTTGGCATTCCTTGACTTGAGCTGCATCTGTCCAGTTTCCACTGCCATCTTCACATGGCCATTGTCTCTTTGCACGTCTCTGGTCTTCAGATCTCTCTCTTTATGTAGATACCAGTCATGGGATCTAGGGCCCACTCTAATCCTGTATGACCACTTCTTAACACGATTATATCTGCAAAGACCCTATTTCCAAATAAGGTCATATTCACAGGTTCTGCATGGGCGTGAACTTCTCAACTTTATAATTGCTGTCTCATAGACTCTGTCTCACTTTATCTCACTATATTTCCTCTTTTGGTTTCTCTGTCTCTCTGTCCCTTCCCCTTTATCTTCCATGCCCACCCCACCATGCCAGGATAACAGCCGCCGCGTAGACAATGTGTTGAAGCTGTGGATCATAGAGGCTCGGGAGCTGCCCCCCAAGAAGCGGTACTACTGTGAGCTATGCCTCGATGACATGCTGTATGCACGCACCACCTCCAAGCCCCGTTCGGCCTCAGGGGACACCGTCTTCTGGGGCGAGCATTTTGAGTTTAACAACCTGCCGGCTGTCCGTGCCCTGCGGCTGCATCTGTATCGTGATTCAGACAAAAAGCGCAAGAAGGACAAGGCGGGCTATGTCGGACTGGTGACTGTGCCCGTTGCCACCCTGGCTGGGCGCCACTTCACAGAGCAGTGGTACCCCGTAACCCTGCCAACAGGCAGCGGGGGTTCTGGGGGCATTGGGGGCTCAGGAGGGGGAGGGGGCTCGGGAGGTGGTTCAGGGGGCAAGGGCAAAGGAGGTTGCCCAGCTGTGCGGCTGAAAGCACGTTATCAGACGATGAGCATCCTACCCATGGAGCTGTATAAGGAGTTTGCAGAGTATGTCACCAACCATTACCGGATGCTTTGTGCAGTACTGGAGCCTGCCTTGAATGTCAAGGGCAAGGAGGAGGTTGCTAGTGCACTGGTTCACATCCTGCAGAGTACAGGCAAGGCCAAGGTGAGTGCCGTGCCTACAGGAAAAGGTGACCTGGGAGTGGGCACTTGCTTGGGAGTGGGCAGTGACGATAGGGCACTTCATGAGTTTGGGTTATACAGAGGCTGACCCTTGGATTTTCCCGGGCCCCAGGACTTCCTTTCAGACATGGCCATGTCTGAGGTGGACCGGTTCATGGAACGGGAGCACCTCATATTCCGCGAGAACACGCTCGCCACTAAAGCCATAGAAGAGTACATGAGACTGATTGGTCAGAAATACCTCAAGGATGCCATTGGTATGGCCCACCCTCAGCTCTCTTCTTCCCAAACCTATCACATGTTCACCCCAGCCCTCAACCTGGCTACTCCAGACCCCAAGTCCACCCTTCCTCAGGTTCGATGCTTCCAAGCCCATAGTTTCTGGACACCAGCCTCCAGCCACCTAATTTTAAGATACCTTAACCCAGCAGCACCTGTCCCTGCCCTTGGAGAGTGTGACCACTCCTCTTTGTGTTTTTCCCCCTAGGAGAATTCATCCGTGCTCTGTATGAGTCCGAGGAGAACTGCGAGGTGGACCCCATCAAGTGCACAGCGTCGAGTCTGGCAGAGCACCAGGCCAACCTGCGAATGTGCTGTGAGTTGGCCCTGTGCAAGGTGGTCAACTCCCATTGGTGAGACTGGGAACTCTGGGTTGGGGGGGCTGGGGTGGGGGGAGTCCTGTGTTCATCTGTTCATCCATCTGTCCATCCTCAAAGAGGACTAAGGACCAGCCTACGGGCAAAGCATTGTGCTGGGTGCTGTAAAAGTAGGCAGAGAGGAATGGAGCCCGACCCCTGCCCTCAGAGGGCCTCCACCAGAATGAGTAGGATCAAATCAGACACAGGAAAGCCACAGAACAGTTGTAGGATGTCTTAAGTGACAGGTAATGGTCCTGCCATGTAACATAAGGTCAGAGAAGGCTTCATGGAGGAGGTGCCTCCTGGGCTGGGCTTTGATGTTTGGATATGGTGGGAAAAGAAGACATTTCAGGAGAAAGCTGTAGGAGAAGGCACATGCATGAAAACGAAAAGGCCCAGGAGCTTTCAGGGACAGCAATTAGGACAGGTTTAATGGCGCACATAACTCGTAATAGTTGTGGGAGAGATGTCTGGACACGGGGATTAGAATTAGGATCTGGAAGGCCTCACCTGCCGGTTAAGGAGTTTGAGTGTATTGGTAGGATACGGTATGCCGTTCATTAATGGTGCTGGTCTGAGAAGTGTCATGACTGAGAAGATTAATCTTTAGGTAGAGTGGGGCTTGTAGGTGACTGGAGTAGGAAGAATGAAGTCCAGGCTAGTTGGGAGCTACTGTTAACAGGTCAAGCATAGAAATCAGATCCTGAATCAGGATGGTGGCAGGAAAAGAGAAGGGCTGCTGTAAGGATCCTCTGAGGAAAGGATCAGCAGCAATCGTCAACTGATTGGATAGGCGGGGGCATGTCTGGGGAGTCAAGGATGACTCAAGAGGCCAGGAGGCTGGTGTTGGGAGACCTGGGGCTTCACTGACAGAACCAGGAAAGCCAGTTGGAGGTATGGGGATGTTGCTGAGCTCCTCTTTACAGGAGTCAGAGTTTAAGGTGTCAGTGGGACAGTAAAGTGGAACGAGAGATGAGGAGAGTGAGCTCTGAGTCATTCCAGGGACTGGGGATCATGCCTGGGGCACCTCCATCCCCATTTCCCCGGAATCCAGAAGAGTTGGGGGGTCCGAGCTCCCTGTACCTCAAGTGACCCTCCATCTCTTCCCATCTCTGTCTCTCCCTGGTGTCTGTTTTTCTTCTCTCCTTGTCTCTCTCACATGTTCCTCCGTCTCTCCCGTGTGTCTCTCTCCCCTCACCTTCTCTTCCCCTCCCGTTCTCTCCCCCTAATCTGTCTGTTCCCTCTGCCATAGCCCTCTTCTTCCAGCAGCCTCCCGTCTTCCTCCTGCGGTCCCTCCCTGCCTGTCTCTCTCACCTGTTTCCACACCCTCACCTCCTACCACCCCCCTCAGCATGTTCCCTGGAAGCTGAGGGTCTCTGGGGCTCAGTCCCGGTCTCTCTCTTTCTTTCTCTCTCTCTCTGTCTCCCTAACCCTTCCCCCCAGCGTGTTCCCGAGGGAGCTGAAGGAGGTGTTTGCATCTTGGCGACTGCGCTGCGCAGAGCGGGGTCGGGAGGACATTGCTGACAGGCTGATCAGCGCCTCGCTCTTCCTGCGCTTCCTCTGCCCTGCCATTATGTCGCCCAGTCTCTTTGGGCTCATGCAGGAGTACCCAGATGAGCAGACCTCACGAACCCTCACCCTCATCGCCAAGGTCATCCAGAACCTAGCCAACTTTTCCAAGTGAGGAAAGGCTCGGGGGTAGGGGGCTGAGAGTGGGCAGCAAGGGTCTCTTGAGTCCCCAGAGACCCTGAGACGGGTGGGTGTGAGGCCATGTGTGTGTGTTTGTGACCTCTATCTTCTGGATGCCTTGGCCAGGTTTACCTCAAAGGAGGACTTTCTAGGATTCATGAATGAGTTTCTGGAGCTGGAGTGGGGTTCCATGCAGCAGTTCCTGTATGAGATCTCCAACCTAGACACACTGACCAACAGCAGTAGCTTTGAGGGTTACATCGACTTGGGCCGAGAGCTCTCCACACTGCATGCCCTGCTCTGGGAGGTGCTGCCCCAGCTCAGCAAGGTTAGCAAATGCCCTTTTGCCCTGTCCCCAGATGTTTCCAGAGTCTTCTGTGGCCTGAGAGACCACTCTCTGCACAGAATTTTCTCCCTCCCTGTTCTCAGACGCATCATCACCACTCCCCCAGCTCAGACACCCTCCATCTGCACCCTCTGAGGCCCTTGTAGAGCTGGGCACTTAGCCCCCAGGTAACAGCCTCACCCTTCCAGGAAGCCCTCCTGAAGCTGGGCCCACTACCCCGGCTCCTCAATGACATCAGCACAGCTCTGAGGAACCCCAACATCCAAAGGCAGCCAAGCCGCCAAAGTGAGCGGCCCCGGCCTCAGCCCATGGTGCTGCGGGGCCCATCGGCTGAGATGCAGGGCTACATGATGCGGGACCTCAACAGGTGAGCACGTTGGGACCCCCTTACCTGTGCCATAGGACCCCCTACTCTTCTGTTTCTGATCATCTGATCATCTGGGCTCCACGTGTACCTTTGTAGGGTTGAAAAAGAAAAAGAAGTAGGTTGTCATAGAAAATGGTAAGGAGACAGCGGTTAGGCTGAGAGCCCTTTAAAACTAGGTGTAGCAAGAAATGTGGAGCCCCAGAAAAGTGCAGAGGCTTCTTTAGCTCGTTGTAAGCCAAGGGGGTCTCACTGCCTGCTCTGATTAGCCTTGTTCCCCTGCCTGCCCATGCCTGTCCCAGAGCTGAGGTTCAACCAGTACATGTTAGATCAGCCATGTAGTGTCTATACATTCAGATATTTTTGTACTAGTTAGAAAATAAGCCCTGCCCTAGCTCCCACCGGAACCCTGCAGACCTTGCCAGACCCAGCACTGGAGGAGTAACACTTGGACCCTAGCCAGGCCTCCCAAGCTACCACAGCTGTTCTAATGGGTGGCGCTGCACCTCAGCTGCTGCTCATTGTTTTGATGACCTCCCTGCTTGTTCCTTTGCCTGTCTCTCTCCCTCCATGACGCCATACCCATTCTACCATTCCCACCTCTCCTCCCATTTGTCCACGCCTTCTGCCCACCTCTCTCCTTCTCTCTGTCTGTGCTTGCCCCTCTTTCCATCTCTCTCCAGCTCCATCGACCTTCAGTCCTTCATGGCGCGAGGCCTCCACAGGTGAGGGGTTCTCCCCTCCCCCGCCCTCCTCTCCTCTCCTGTCTGCTCCCCTTCTCCCACTCCAGTGGCCTTCACCTTCCTCTTCTCCTCCTCCGTGCACCCTCATCTCCTCCATATCTGCCCAGACTTGCCCCTCATCCCTCCTCTTGCTGCCCCCATCTCCCTTCCTCTAGGCCTCACTCCCTTCCTGAAGAGGCCTTGTCCTTTCCTTTTCCCACATATCCCTTCCCATCCTCCCAGCCTGCCCTGACCAGAGCTGCCACAGCCAGCTCTCAGCCCTTCCCTACGGGTCCCTCAAGGCCTGTGCCTGACCATAGCAGGCTTGATTGCCAGTAGCCTTGGCCTTACCTCCTGCCTGTATGCCCCCTTCCCTTCCGACAGCTCTATGGACATGGCTCGCCTCCCCTCCCCAACCAAGGAAAAGCCACCTCCACCACCCCCTGGTGGGGGTAAAGACCTGTTCTATGTAAGCCGTCCACCCCTGGCCCGTTCCTCACCAGCATATTGCACGAGCAGCTCAGACATCACGGAGCCGGAGCAGAAGATGCTTAGTGTCAATAAGAGTGTCTCCATGCTGGATCTGCAAGGTGACGGGCCCGGTGGCCGCCTCAACAGCAGCAGTGTATCCAACCTGGCAGCCGTCGGGGACCTGCTGCACTCTAGCCAGGCCTCCTTGACAGCGGCCTTGGGGCTGCGGCCTGCACCAGCTGGACGCCTCTCCCAGGGGAGTGGCTCGTCCATCACGGCAGCTGGCATGCGCCTCAGCCAGATGGGCGTCACCACGGACGGTGTCCCTGCCCAGCAACTGCGCATCCCCCTCTCCTTCCAGAACCCTCTCTTCCACATGGCTGCTGATGGGCCAGGCCCCCCAGGGGGTCACGGAGGGGGTGGTGGCCACGGCCCACCCTCCTCCCATCACCATCATCACCACCATCACCATCACCGAGGTGGAGAACCCCCAGGGGACACCTTTGCCCCATTCCATGGCTACAGCAAGAGCGAGGACCTCTCCTCAGGGGTCCCTAAGCCCCCTGCTGCTTCCATCCTTCATAGCCACAGCTACAGTGATGAGTTTGGACCCTCTGGTAGTGACTTCACCCGTCGGCAGCTCTCACTCCAGGACAACCTGCAGCATATGCTGTCCCCTCCCCAGATCACCATTGGTCCCCAGAGGCCTGCCCCCTCAGGGCCTGGAGGTGGAAGTGGTGGAGGGGGCAGTGGTGGGGGTGGCGGGGGCCAGCCGCCTCCGTTGCAGAGGGGCAAGTCTCAGCAGTTGACAGTCAGTGCTGCCCAGAAACCCCGGCCATCCAGCGGGAATCTGTTGCAGTCACCAGAGCCGAGTTATGGCCCTGCCCGTCCACGACAACAGAGTCTCAGCAAGGAGGGCAGCATTGGAGGCAGCGGGGGCAGCGGTGGCGGAGGGGGTGCGGGGCTCAAGCCCTCTATCACCAAGCAGGTAAGTAAGGGTGGGAAGAAGGCAGGAAGGGAAGAAGGAAATGTGTTGGGGAGGTGGAGGTAGATTAGTTTGTGGTCTGAAGTTACAATTTTCTCACTTCATTCATTAAATGTGTGTAGAGTGCCTGCTATGTGTCATGTGCTGCTCTAGGCACTATGGATTTGGCAGTGAACAAGAGAGAGAAATCCCTGCCCTCAAGGAACTCACATTCAGAAGGGAGACATAAATAACGCATAGCATTTACAAGGTGATCAGAGCTAGAGCAAGGGAATAGGATTGGGACTCTATCTCTGTAAGTGCTCTTGCTCTAAATGCACCCTGCCTTCTTCCACCTTTCCTCTATTTGCCCCCACCTTACCCTGTCCCAGCATTCTCAGACGCCATCCACACTGAACCCCACAATGCCAGCCTCTGAGCGGACGGTGGCCTGGGTTTCCAATATGCCTCACCTGTCAGCTGACATCGAGAGTGCCCACATCGAGCGGGAAGAGTACAAGCTCAAGGAATACTCTAAGTCGATGGATGAGAGCCGACTGGACAGGGTACGCTGGCCCTACCAGCCCCAAGCCTCTGTCTTTCCCTTGCCCACAGGGAAGGCCTCTTGTCATTGCCAAAGGAAACATCCATGGTTAGGTAGTTATGGTGGAAAGAAAAGATAAAGACCTGATCCCTTCTCCTGAGAAGCCTTCAGTCTCTTCAGGGAGACCAGATATAGTCAGTTCATTGAAAAATCCAATTCCAGCTCTTTTTTTGTGGGTTATACATGTGATAGACTATCTGAGGAAAAACCTGTTCTCCATTAGGCGTACCTCCATGTTCTTCCCCAGGGAAAACATAAACCCTGGCTCTGATGACTGCTCAGGAAAAGGGAAGTTACTTTACTAGCAGCGTGAGCTGATAAATTGGGCAGGGGCAGAAGGGTTGCAGTTGTACTACAAGTGATGTTTAGTTTACCTGGTCAGTGCTCCATGGGCATAGGTGACAAGGGTTAGTGTTGGAAAGTGGTGTATATTGGCCCATTTGTGGAAAGACTGTCCAGACGCTCAGCTGGTGGTGGCCCAGAGCCAAAGAAAGCAAGAGCTTTGAGGTACACACAGATAACTTAGCAGAAGGCTCCTTGAGGAAGCCATGGCTATAAGGACCATGAAGGAGAGGACAGCTGTAAAGAAGGTATGGCTCCAACTTGGGGAGCAAAGAGAGGTTTCTTAGGGGAAGTGGTTTTTTTGAGCATAGGAAAATGTTGGGACTGATTTAGGTGGACTTGGTCCAGCAAATTCCTTGAGACAATTAAGCCCTAATGCCCCCAAAGTAGCCATTGTAGGCAATGAATTAACATCTTTTCTTTGTTTCTATGAGATTGGTTATGTACCCTCTTTGGAGAATGAGAAAATACTCTCAAATCACTTTTTCTGTTCTGTGGTTCAGATGAGGAATCTTTGTTGAGGAAGGCTCTAGACTACTACTATTCAGTAGGAGTCTGCAGTGATGAAATGTTCTATAATCTCCATGTCCAATATAGTAGCTATTGGCCACATGTGGCTGGTGCAACTGGGGAACTGAGTTTTTAGATTTATTTAAATTTCAAGTAGCCACATGTGGCTAGTGGTTACTGAATTCAATAGCAGAGCTCCAGACTTTAGATCCAATAGGGCATGTAAAATGACTCTTCCAAGGTCATAATCAACAAAGAAGCATTTGTAGATTCTCAGCCTGGACTCGCCTGAAGCCCAGACCCATTGTCTCCAAAATTGGACCTTTCCTCTCTCTAGCCAATGTCTCTCCTTCCTGGTCTTTCCCATGTGTTCTGTGGCCTGGGTTGGGGCTGAGGAGTCACCTTAGCTTTAATTTCTGGGTACAGTCATTCAAGGTGCATCCATGAGTCTGTCTAGATTCCTTTGTGGGTCCTCATGTGTTCAGGTGCACCTGTGAGGATATGTACATACCTCTCAGGGAGTCTATGATCTTGCTTCATTTTGAGGGAGTCTCCACGGAAAGCCCTTTGAAAAAGTGAGTGTGTATATATGACCAACAGGCAGGGAAAGGGCTGAAAGAGGAGGTTGGGATGTCCCTCACCCGGCAGTGGCTGTGCTCGGCAGGCAGGGATGGAAGCTGGGTGCTGGGGTCAGGACAGGGCGCCCCTCACAGTGCGGGGTCATGTGCCCGGCGGGCAGGTGAAGGAGTATGAGGAGGAGATCCACTCACTGAAGGAGCGGCTGCACATGTCCAACCGGAAGCTGGAAGAGTATGAGCGGAGGTTGCTGTCCCAGGAAGAACAGACCAGCAAAATCCTGATGCAGTATCAGGCTCGACTGGAGCAGAGTGAGAAGAGGCTAAGGCAGCAGCAGGTGGAGAAGGATTCACAGATCAAGAGCATCATTGGCAGGTGAGGGGCGGCCTGGGGAGGGGTAACAAGGGAGAGCCTGAGGTTGAAGAGAGCTAGTGAACTCCCTCTTCAGCCCCCAACCCCCAACTCTAGACATTATGAGGAAAGCACACCCCCTACTCCCAGGGATGCCACTCACTCACCTATTACCAGAAAGGAAGAAGAATCCTTTTGCTTAGTGCAGTAAATGTCCCTTTTCTAAATGCTGACCTCTTTCCTGATAGCATCATTTCTAAAGCCCTTGGAAAATGTGCCTGTTACTGTCCACTAATCACTATGTATCTGGACCCAGCCTAGACTGGGATTCCCCACTGGTTATTCTCAACCCAGCCAGTTATGTTCACCCCAAACCTAGTGAGGGATCCTGGGCCAGAGTAGCCCCTGGCCATCCTATCCTGTGCCACCCCTACCTCTCCAGCCTAGGAAGGGTGTTCCATTAGAAAAGGAATGCCCTTTGTTTTATAAAGCCTGTAAATATTCTCATCTGCTCTGTAGAGCCCTAGGCTCCAAATGAGGTGTCCCAACAAGGGTGTCAGTTATCTTGAGAAATGAGTGAGACCTGGGGTTTCACTCCAACCAGAGCCAGCTTTATTTTGTTCCATTCTAAATGTGTATTTGAGTAAGATTAATTAGAAGAAAAAGGCTTGACTTGAAACTTTTTTGAAAACCACTGTTTTAATTGCTATCCTTTATGAGAAATCACCTTGAGCTCAGAGCTGCTGAGACAGTGATTGTAGAGACTCCTCTTGGGTGAGGGGCGTCCCTGGGGCTAACTGGAGATGGCCTAGGCGCGGTGAGGTGGAATGGGGGACGTGGAAGCCAGGTCTTCAGCCACAGAGGGCACGTTGTTCTGAATGGGAACATGGAGGGCCTGGGCTAACGGGATGGTAAGAGGTCTGGAAGGCTCAGAAAGCTGTCCTTAGTAGGGAGATGTGAGGGTCTCAGAGAGAAAGGTGAATAACAGGGATAATGGAGGGATTCTGAGGGCAGGGGAGAAAGATGCCCGGGGCTTTTCCAGAGGGCTGCGGTTTCCCGGGGTCAGGGATTCCGAGGGCAGGTTAGTGCCCGCCACTAACCCCACTGAAGCCCGTCCCTTCAGGCTGATGCTGGTGGAGGAGGAGCTGCGCCGGGACCACCCCACCATGGCTGAGCCACTACCTGAACCCAAGAAGAGGCTGCTCGACGCTCAGGTGGAAATTACAATGTCATTTATCTTCTCCGTGTCCCATCCCCATCCATCCCACTGTCCTTGTGCCCTCACTGCACCAGCCACCCCAACCCCATCACCATCCCATTGTCCTCCATTTGTCCACTGACTGCTCCCTGCAGCCCCTCAGTGACCCCATCTTCATCCCATTGTCTGTGCCTTTGTCACTCCTGGCAGTGTCAGCCCCACCACCCCCTGTGCCTTCCCTCCCTTTCTTTCCCACTTCGTGTGTGTGTGAGGACCTCTACCAGAACCTCAGTCTCTTTGCCCCCAGACACTATCAGTTCTTGGAACCCTTGCCCCATTTGTGCCTGCTCCTGTTCAATCAGGGAGTTCAGCTTCCTCTGAGCTCTTCTTGGGCCAAGAGAGCTAGAGACTACATTTCACTAGAATAGAGCACACGTTAGTATGAGTTCTAATTTCCCCAGGCTCTGGATTGTGCTCTTGGGACTTCAGATCCCTATCACCTCTGTTCTCTTGGCTCCCCAATTTTCCTGACACCTGGACAGCTCCCTCATAGAGTCTTCCTGACTCTTCAGCTCTTGAACCCTCTCACCCTGTAAGCTCTCATTTCCCTCAGTGTTTAAGTCCAGCCTCCTTTGGCCTGTCTACCGCTCTGGCTCTCACATCTGACTAGCTTTCCTGCTCCCTCCTGCCTCCCTCTCTTCTCACCAGCCAGCTTTTAGGACCTCCCTCCTGCACCCTCACCCTTGCTCTCCCCATATTCTGCTCACTTTCCCACCCATGGTCCTTCTTCTGCTCTGACCGCCAGGCTTCCCCACTACTACCACCCAGGCTCCTGACCCCATGACCCCACTCTCTCCCCCTGCAGCTCCTCATCAGGTAATTCTCCTGGTTCCGCTTTGACCACGGGCGGAGGACACAGGGGGAGGTGACTCCGGACCACTGCAGGTTGGTCATGAAGCCCAATCCCCTCTAACTCTCCACAGCCTCTCCCCGCTCATGGCTGCCCTCCACACCAACAACCTCCACAGACCCCGCCCTCCTGACACCTTCCATGTAGACCCATCTCCCAAGGCACTGCCCAGACAGAGACAGAGTACTTCCTGCTATCTCCCAGCTGGTTCAGTGATACCTTACCAACACCAGGCATCTACCCTGGACAGGCCCAGCACAGTGCCAGGTCACACTCCTTTTCCCACAAAACCCACCCCCAGCCTCCTCCCGACTCTCAGTCCTTCTCCTCTTCCTCTCCAGTGTATGTCTGTCACCCCCCATTTCACCAGAGCGTCCTTGGGGGTTGTGAGGTTAGGGGTGGGATTCATTAGGGGTGGCAGTGATTATGGGTTGGTGGACCCTGACTAGAGGGGCTGTGCTGACTGCAGCAGGTAGGTTGGGGTTTCTTCTTTCTTTCCTAACCTTGGTTCTCTAAACCTTCCTTCTACCTCTCACCTGCTTCTCTCTCTTCCTCCCTCTTATATCTGTGAGGTAAAAGGTATACAGGGTTCCTCTTCAGCCCCACTGAATGGGAATTTGGAAGGGCTAGTTAACTCAGGGAGGTTTGGGGGGACCTGGAAAGAATGCTGTTCATATGTGAAGACAGTCTGCAGCAAGGAGGATGAATGCAGCAAGGAGAAGCAAGAAAGGAGTCATAACAGATGTTAGGACTGGGCCATGTGGCATGGGAGCTGGAAGTGGGGTAAGATGTCTCCCTAGATAAGATCATGGGCTCAGTAGCCATGTTGATTCCCAGGCAGAGATGCCAGGAACAGCATGTTAAATAACCTCTATTTTTTTGTCAGAGCTTACATCCCAGGGTTGCTAATGCCACTCATTCCCCCTCTCCCGCCACCCAGTGGCCTTGCTGGACACATAATGCTACCTAAAAAGCTAGTAAATGGGAACCTGTCAGCCACCGACTTCATTTCTGAGATGCTTTATTTTCTGTAGGGTTGATCTGCAGCGGGCAGTGGCTTCTCACATTGTAATTTTAACTCTCTGCCTGCCCAACCTCTCTGTCAAAGTAGTTAGTGATCTGTAAACAGATGCTAAAAGGCACCAGGGGACCTCACCATTTAAAGGACTCCCGCAGTGAATTCTGTTATAAAATGAATAATGGCACCCTAATTTATCTACTTTCTAAATTTGGGTCCGGGGAGGGTGGGGGGCATGCCTGTGTGCTGTCACCAACAGACGAGCAGACGGAAGGAAATCCGAGATTTCCTTCCCCTGCTCTCCTGTCATAATCGGGATCCCCTACCATATGTAATTTTCTCTCTTGCTTATCTATAGAAAGTGTGTGAGATGCTCAGCAAGCTAAGAAGGCAGCTTTGCTTAAGGCTGGGGTTTTGGCGATCTTCTGAAAGGGGAGCTCTTTGATTTGGAAGGGAGAGCTGATCTGGGAGCCTCTACTTGGAATATTTTTGTATTTTTTAGAAGTATGCTCAGACATAACTAGGTTGCCAGGCCTAAATGCCCTATGGCCCAGGAAATAATTGGGAAACTTTTGCTAAACCACTTTTAGGTATTGGTGCCTCTGCAACTCAGCCATTAATTTAAAAATTAATTTTGTGCCTGTGTTTTAAGTCAGGTAAGCAACCAGAAGTATAGTACAAATGGATTTCTTTTCTCCTAGCAGAGGAACAGAAGCCAGAGTTGAGGGCAGGAACCAGGAGTTGGTCCAGGAGCGTAGGGGGTGATACAATAGGACCTAGGGTGGGAGTAGGGTCTGGTACTCCTCACCCGTTAAGTAGGAGCCCAGGGTGAGGGACTGAAAGGAATGTGGGGGTGGAAAGGAATGAAGCATTTCTGCTTCCTGGGGATACAGAGATTGGGGCATGCTGTGTCTCTGCAGAAGTTCCTAGTCGGTTCTGGTTAGCATGAGAGAGAGGCAGCCCTCCCACAATATTTTTATCTTCCCACATCACTTCCCTGAATCCCCTTCCTTTCCCCCCAGTACAGTTAAACCTCTCTAATTTGGAATGTTATATTTGAGAAGATGGCTACTCTGAATAAGTGACAAAACTGAATGACAGTGTCTATTTAATGAAATACATGTCTTCAAAATATATACAGTAAGTAAACCTCAATGAATAAGGCTTTTCCACTGGAGGCCCTCAGGGAGCATGCATTAATGAATAGATAGGATTGAAAAGTCTGTTTTCTGGTATAGGTTAAATATTCCTCCTACAGACACATTTCCACTATTAATTTGCTTAGCATACCCTTTCTTCATAGATAAAGGAAAACTCAAGCCCAGTTTTTGTTCAAATTATGAAAAAATTCCAACTCCATAGGGGTTTGGATTAATGAGGTTTTGCTGTACTGCCTCCCCTGTTCCCTCAACACAAAGTTCCTACCTTGGATTGGGGGTGGGCTGGGAGGGGGCTCCAAGAGGAGGTGGGTAGGCTGGGCAGGGGAAGATACAGGGGTTATCTTGGGGGGTAGGTGGGAACTTGATTCTTTTGAACTGGTTTCCTGGTGTGACTCCCTGGGTTGAAGGCCCCTGTTAGGAGTCTGGGGTAAGATTCTCTTCTCCCTGATCCCAGAAGATGTAACTTCTACTGCAGGTGAGAAACAAAAAAACTGAAGAGTTGAGAACACTCACTAAACCATTCAAGAGGTCCGTATTACCATGATACTAAATCCAGACAAATACATAAGAAAATTGTACCTATATCCCTTATGAACACTGATGTAAAAATTCTTAACAAAATACTAGCAAACAAAATTCAGCAGTATTAAAAGGATTATTTACATGACCAAGTGGAATTTATTCCTAGAATTCAAGGATGGTTCAACATATGAAAATCAATCAATGTAATATATCACACTACCAGAATTAAAGGAAAAAAACACACAGTCATCTCAATTAATGCAGAAAAACATTGACAAAATATAATACCCATTTATAATAAAAAAAAATCAACCCGCCCCCCCCACCCCGGCTGCAGATCACCGAGAACGGCGAGTTCCGAAACACCGCAGACCACTAGCCCACCCAGCATCACAGACCTTCTCCCTGCCCATGCACCCCACCCCGGAACAGCACCAACCACCAGGACTGGATGTCGCCGAGGGACAGCGGGATTGCCTCCCTGAATGCCTCCTTAGGGGGTACTAGTCCCCCATTCCCACTGCACCATTTCCAGGAGGGAGAGCAGGGACCCTTAGCTGCCCCTTTTTCCTTCCTGTTGGGGTGCTGCCCCCTGTGACCCCCAGGGACCCGTGCCCCAGGATACCACCTACCCCACACAGACCCCTTCACTCCGGGGTGCTATCCCCATCCTCTGCCTCATCGTTCCCCTGAGCACTGGGGGACAGACCCTCACCCCCCACCCTGGGGGTGTGGAACCTCCAAACTTTCAACTTCAGGGTGATTTTTTAGCAGTAACCAGAGCTGACAATCTAACTCCCCTCCACCGCCCCATTTTGGCCTCCCCTGTCCCCCTTGTTATGGGGAGGGGACCCCGGGTGAGGGGGCCCTATTACCCCTTGATTTCTCAGGAGCGTCTGGGGGGGCTCAGCACGCACAAACTCCTTCTCTTCCTACCACTCTTAAATTTACTCCCTCCCCACCCAGAACCCAGATGGGGTGGAGGGGCCACCGGGGCAGGGAGGGGGCGGCACGGGGGAATGGGAGTTGTCTCCCCTTCCTCCCACACCTGATCTGCTCTTGGCTGGTCCCAGAGCGGGGTGAGGGGGCTTATGCCCCCCCCTCCCCCAGTGTGTTGGGTGGGATAGAATTGAGGTTAGAGTGAGGGGTTAGGGTTTAGGAGGGTGTGTATGTTGGAGAGGACAGACTAGCTGATCTGTTCTGCCCTGACATACACAGTCCCCCCTGCCCCTCCCCTCTCTCTTCTTGGTCTCTACTCCCAGGGGAAGGGGGGAACTTACTCTAGGAAAAGCCATGTCTCTCTCCCCCAGGGTGGGGGGACCTATGTTGGAGGAGGGGTGTTGGGGGCCCCCTTCCATGACTCTGACCCCTGGGGGGGAGGTAGGACAGGGCTGGGCTACCCTCTCATCCTCCCCCTCTCCCCAATCTCCCTCCACCTCCCTCCCTCCCGCCAGCTCCACAGTTTTTCGGTGTTTCTCTGTACATAGCTCACTGGCGGGATAGGGGAGGTAGGATGGATGGGGTTTGGGGTAGGTAGGTCATGGGAGGGAAGAAGCCCCTCCTTGACACCCCCTCTTCCCTGACTGCTGTCCCCTACCCAGCCTTGCCCCCTCATCCTTTCTTGCGTTTGGTATTGAGACTCTTCGAAGACTCCACCCTTCTTTCTTTTGTATGGACAGTTCCCCTTCAGTCCCCTCCCTTATACACATACACCCAGCCGGGGCCAAATTTATACTTATATAAAAGTTGTAAATATGTGAAATTTTATCCTTGTGCCCTTTCCTTGCTTTCCCAACCTCAGACCCAACCCCAGACCCCCCCTTCCTCCTCTCCTCTTTGGCTGTTGTAATTATCTGGGGTTTGTACTGTACATATCCGGGGTGTGTGTGTGTGGGCTGGGGGGCAGTCCCTCTGTACAGAGCTTCCTGGCCCCTTCCCCCATGCTACCCTCCCCACCCACCACCCTAAGGGTAGGGAGATGCTCTTCCTACCTGTTTTATTTTGATTTCTCGTTCTCCCTCCCCACCCAAGCCCACTCCCAGCCTTCTCTACCCCACCACTATCCCTTTTTCTCCACTCCCAGCCCCATTTCCTTTTTTTCTGGAGTGTGTGGTGAAACAGAAAAATCATGTTTAATAAACAGAGATTGTTCTTTTACTGCTATGCTGACTTTCCTAGGCTGGGATCTCCAGAAGGACCAGCAGGGTAATAGGATCTGCTTATTGGGAGGAGGCTGACAGCCTAGGAGAAACTATATCCCTGTGTGATCCATAGTCTCCTCTTAGAATTTCACTCTCCTACCCTGTGAGGAGATTTATTCTGTTTTAGAGGAGGGATATTAAAATACAAAATTCAACTGAGTAAATTGAAAGATCTAATTGGCTTTATTCACCGATTCATGAATTGGGCAGCATCCCGAATCTAGCAAATAGAAAGGAGCTCAGCCCAACAAAAAAGAAAAGGTTTTTAAAGGCAGAAAGGGGTGGAAAAAGGAAATTACTATCAAAGAACACATTGTTTCAAGCAAAGTCACCCTCCTATGGGCACAGAAGAGCCTGTCAGGCCGATTACCTCACTAGCGCTGCAGGTAATTCCAGGTTGGCTGGTTAAAGGCTACATTCACGAGAGAGGGTGAAACAGCAATTGAGTTAAGTATTAAGTCTTAGTTTGCAGACATGGGTTTGGCACAAGTGACTCCATTTTGGACCTGCCGTTTTTGTTTTTTTTTTAAACAGGGTTTTGCACTAGCCAAACAATCTAGTTCTCCCTTCACCACTGCTCCACTTAACCCCAAGGAGTAAAGAGGCTAAGGAACAGCAGCATTACCTGATGAAAAGATTCCAAATATATATCTATATGCGTCTTTTTAAAAAAAATTACCTAGAAATAAAGTTTAATTGTTGGTTAAAATGTTCATGTGCATAATGGAGGAAAGAACATGGTTCCTTAGCAAACTGAGTTCCAATTCCAGACCCACTACTTGCCAGCTTCGGTTCCCTCGCTCCGAGGAAAGTGAGGATGACAACACCTACCTCGCAGGGCAGGGGCAGAATATAAGGTGGTGTGAGCAATGCCTAGCCCACAGAGCAGGTACCCACTTAATCTCGCTCTCTCAGAACCTAGCGGGGCGCAGGCGCTTCATTTAACCACCTGGGCGGCTCAGTAGTCGCCCCTCAGTGCATTGCTCTTCGGCGGCCGAACAGCCTAACTCTCCGCAGTGGCTGCCGCCCGGCGGCCGCAAAACCAGTACTACCTCTCACCAGCACCACCTTTTCGCCCGTCAACCAATCAACGCAAGGCTTGTAGACCTCCAATTGGCTGCTCCTAAACCCGCTCGCCGCATCCGCCGTCGGCGTCCGGAGGCAGGCGGTAGCTTCCGGCCGGGGCTGCGCAGTAGCTGCAGAGGCACTCGGGGGACGCGGCGCGCGTGTATAGGCGGGTGGCGGCGG